AATGAGTGGAGGAGGGGAGGGGCCGACCCTCTCTATGGCGCGCCCTAGGGGAGTCCTACTCCCACCGGGAGTAGGATTCCCCCTTTCCTAGTAGAACTAGGAGCCCTTCCAAGTAGTAGGAGTAGGAGAGAAGGAAGGGGAAAAGAGAAGAGAAGGAAGGAGGGGGCGCAGCCCTTCCCCCTAGTCCAATTCGGACTAGGCCATGGGGGGCGCGCGGCCTGCCTCTCTCTCTTTCCCCTAAAGCCCAATAAGGCCCATACACTCCCCTCGAATTCCCGTAACTCCCCGGTACTTCAATAAATACCCGAATCACTCGGAACCTTTCGATGTCCGAATATAGTCGTCCAATATATCGATCTTTACGTATCGACCATTTCGAGACTCCTCGTCATGTCCCCGATCTCATCCGGGACTCCGAACTACCTTCGGTACATCAAAACACATAAACTCATAATATAACCGTCATCGAACTTTAAGCGTGCGGACCCTACGGGTTCGAGAACTATGTAGACATGACCGAGACACGTCTCCGGCAAATAACTAATAGCGGAACCTGTATGCTCATATTGGCTCCTACATATTCTACGAAGATCTTTCGGTCAAACCGCATAACAACATACATTGTTCCCTTTGTCATCGGTATGTTACTTGCCCGAGATCCGATCGTCGGTATCTCAATACCTAGTTCAATCTCATTACCGGCAAGTCTCTTTACTCGTTCTGTAATACATCATCCCGCAACTAACTCATTAGTTGCAATGCTTGCAAGGCTTATAGTGATGTGCATTACCGAGTGGGCCCAGAGATACCTCTCCGACAATTAGAGTGACAAATTCTAATCTCGAAATACGCCAACCCAACAAGTACCTTCGGAGACACCTGTAGAGCACCTTTATAATCAGCCAGTTACGTTGTGACGTTTGGTGGCACACAAAATATTCCTCCGGTAAACGGGAATTGCATAATCTCATAGTCATAGGAACATGTATAAGTCATGAAGAAAGCAATAGCAACAAACTAAACGATCAAGTGCTAAGCTAACGGAATGGGTCAAGTCAATCACATCATTCTCCTAATGATGTGATCCCGTTAATCAAATGACAACTCATGTCTATGGTTAGGAAACATAATCATATTTGATCAACGAGCTAGTCAAGTAGAGGCATACTAGTGACACTCTGTTTGTCTATGTATTCACACATGTATTATGTTTCCGGTTAATACAATTCTAGCATGAATAATAAACATTTATCATGATATAAGGAAATAAATAATAACTTTATTATTGCCTCTAGGGCATATTTCCTTCACTCATGGCCTGATTTGGGCCTCCTGGCCGATCGGGGGCAATGCGGACGCGCGGGGCTGCCTTCTTCTTGATGGCCAGTCCGGCATGGAGTTGACAGGTAGCGTGTGGGCTTGATGGTCTTGCATCTAGCTAATCTTCAAGCGCCAAGTCATTGATCTATTCATATCGGCCTCCCAGATCTAGATGCTGACGAGTTCCGGCCTTTCCCTCGGAGATTTCTGTTGATTGGCGCATGGCGCCGCCGGATATCTAGATTGGATTCGTTCCCGTCATGCGCGCCCTTATCTTCGGCCAATGAGGCCTCATGAGGGCGTGGCACGAAGCTTTGTGTTCTTTTGGTGCCATAGGACATGCCTAAATATAGATTTCTATGGTATTGATAGAGGTGGAGAAAGTCATGACGGCTGCGATAAGAGGTTTGAAATGGTGGAGAGGTGTTTTGGTTGCAGTGAAGACCTGCGACACAGGTTCTTCCTGTGTGTCAGGTGTTTGGTGACTTGCAGCTGTAGCCTTGGCAAGAGGGGGTGGTTGTCGTGGTTCTAAGTCTGACAGTAGAATGGGGGGTAGGTATGTAGAGGCAAGATCCTAGCTATGGAGGAGTTGTACACGCGAGTTTTACGAGTTCAGGCCCTTCTCGGAGGAAGTAGCAGCCCTACGTCTCGGAGCCCGGAGACGGTCGACTGGATATATGCGTGTGAGTTACAGGGGGTGCGAAGCCTTGTCCCGGAGGAGGGGGGTGACTTATATAGAGTGCGCCAGGACCCCAGCCAGCCCACGTTACAAAGGGTTCAATGTGCATTAAGGCAGGGCGTTACTGGTAACGCTAGTAATAAAGAGATATAAATGATCTTTAAGGTTACAGAGTGCATGACCGACCGTTGCCATCCTGAGTGATGTTAGGCCTTCTACACTCTGAGTGGTTTCTTGTATCGTCGAGTGTCTTCAAGACTGTCGAGTGGAACATAGCTTTATGGTCGAGTGGATGATGATTTTTCTTCGATTGCTTCTGGTTCTTTTAGAGGTTCCCTTGGGGAGGGTATCTTGGACAGATCCATGACCCTGTCCTAAGTACATAGCTTCGTCAGTGGCAACACTAGTGGACTACATTTTTTATGGTGCTCCTCGAGTGCCGACCCTTGATTTTCAGGGTGAAAGCCCAAGGTCTAGCCTTAATTGGTTGTACCTAGCAATGACCTTGTTGTAGGTATTTTTTTTGTGAACTCGGACTCTCTCCAGGTGAAAACCCAAGATCTTTGATCGGGCGATGAGAATGTTTGTGCATTATTTCTTTCTTGGAGGCGTTTCTTTTGGAGAATCTCTTTGATGGCCCGGCTGATGGTGATGTCTTCGGTGATGGTTAGAGTGCTGCTATTGTGAGTTTCAATCACCGTGACGTGGTCCTTGTTTTATTTTTCTCTCTTTTTTAATTTTTTTCTTGGCTGTGTGCATCCTTAATGCCTTTGATCATTTTATTGGTGTAGAGACTTGGTGTAATTGATATCTTTGCGATATTAATATATTCCTCTTATCAAAAAAGGTCTGCTGGTGATGTGTCCAAGGCCCCGTCCATCAGTTGGCATATCAGCAGTGATATGGTCCATCTCAAACTGCAGAAATGATATTTGCTTTGAATGTAAGAGGATTCTAGATCCTTCTATGATTCTGCATAGATCATGTGCTTTGCTAACTCTTGGTCCATATTGCAGAAAAATCAGGAAAGACAAAGGGAACTGACATGAGGGGTAAAGTTGCTCCAACAAGTTCCAAGTGAAGTTTTCAACACAGCTAGAGGTTGGCGGCCCCGGGGTTCTTAAGATTGCAGGTGGCTGATGAACAGGAAGATTTTCTAGGGATCCTATCTTGATGCCATCGGAGCTGCTGCCAGAAAAATGAGGATCTACATCTTGTTGTTTCCGTTCAGAGTGATTTTATCTTTGGTCCAGTCGTGTTTCTCATTTTCCTTTGGTGCTATCTGCAGTTGTTGCTACTCCTTCCTTATTATACGATGTAAGGTTGTAAATGTTTAATTACTTGTAAGTTGGATAAAAGTGGTGAAATGATATGTATTTGGAGTGTGACTGGAGAGGGGTTGCGCCCTCACTCTCCAGAGGCTTTCTGTAGTTTTCTCTTGCAGTTAGTCTTGAATGATTTAGGTGGCAAGTAGGTTTACTTTGGCTGTACTGAAGAGTAGGGCATTCTGGAGGATGAGCTTCATGGAGCTTGTCTTTAAAAAAAAACACATTTTTTTAAGTTCCACAAAATTCTGAAAAACATTCTACACGTTCATATGGGTGTATTTTACATGTGTATAAAGTCTGACGATGAAATATAATATGTCGAGAGGTACACAAAAAAGACAAATTCGTGCATTTTATAGTAGTGCACGGTTGGCATACTGTTCACCATTTTCAAATCATGATTTTTGTCTTTTTAATGTACTGTCTTTATAATTTATATCATATTCAAAATTTATAAACATGTATTATATATCCATATTGTGATTTTTTTCAGAAATTTCAGAACTTCAAAATGTAATTTTCGTTTTTAAAAAAAAGCTCCACGTACCTTGTCCTCCATTTAGCATTTTCGTGTATTGAACTACTATTAGTGGAAATCGGGGAAACCCGTTTTGCTAAAAGAAAAGAAAATGCTCAATCGAAGGATCGGCCTAGACATTATAGACGACAATTCCAGAAAGAAAAAGAATAAGTAGTAAACGACAAGCTCAGCCGGTATAAAAAGAAAAGGTAGAATTCGGCAAAAATGTGTAAGGCTGCGGGAATCACTTAGCCGGCGCACGCCAGCCGCCCGCGCCTCCTCCGGCCGCTCTGCGTTGCCTCGCACGTACGGTACTCATTTGGATCGGCCCCCTCTTCCACCACGACGGGAGGCACCAACGATAGCAGCATCTCCTTTGTCAGTTTCGGCGTCACACACTCATCTACTCCTTGTGGCTTCGCTTCGTTGCATGTCACGGCTGACAAACGAACACGACCTTCCTTTTTACGACCCGGGCCACGAAAAGTACGTGCACCCGGCCGGCTGCTTACCTGCAATGACAGATATCTTCCCCGATGCTTTCCATGAAG